AAAATTATTTAAAGTCTATCCCTCGCTGTCACTTCAGTTCAAGTATCTTCTCTTTTTAAAGAAATCAGGCTAGTTCGTAAACCCTTAAGTAAGCAAAGATTTGCGAAGCCATGCTAAACAGAAATCTTAATTCTTAACAGTATTTTACAATTTTACAGGTCATATGATGACAAAGGTACAGAACCAACTTTCTGAATTAAACATTGTATACTGCTTCCTCATTTGAACCTTCTTTAGCATGGCATACTTGTTTCTTATTTCCAGTTTGAATAGGAATTGGATAAAATTCTGTGTCTATATCTGCCTCTGTCTCATTTTAAAATAATTTCCAGATCAGACATGACGAAGATAGAGGGTTATCTCCTACCCTTAACTTTTGTCCCTTGTTATAGCTTGGGGAAGATCATGCTACTGTTATAAGAGTTTAAGTGAAGTTACCTAAGTTTAAAGATTGAATAACCAACACCAACTTTCTGGAGAGAAGAAATTGAAACCTTAGTAAAAGTTGCGTGGTCACTAAGTTCATTCTTTTCACTTTGTGAATTTTTCTCTTGCCGTGTCTCTCTTCCAGTGTTTGCATACACTGTGTTATCACAGAGAACTCGCTCTGGACATCACTAAAACAGTCACAGTGTTTCTAAAATAGAGGCTAATGAGTTCTTTCAACCCAAAGGTCCTGTTCCATGGCAAGGGGTAATATAATATTTGGCTTATTCAGGCAGACAAAAAAGACTTAATCACTAACCTGAAGAATCAGCTGTTGCCTAAGCACCAGTGTCCATGAGCCTTTTACAGTCAGCTGGTACAGGTGTTGCATTGCACCAGTCAGTGATGACAAGGAACCCAAAATGCAAATGTAATGATGCAGATGAGACAAAACTGCTGATTACCTCTTCCTTCTCTGTACTAGGAATGCCCAAGCAGGATGCATCCCGTCTGATGATATACCTTCAATCAAAAGTTTACCATTTGCCAAAGAGAAAGATATAATTGAGTATCTGCCAAGACAAAACAACAGCTGGGTAACTTGCATGTAAGTGCCTCAGATGAATTAGCTGCTTTGCACCACTTTTCTAAATGTTTATAAACTCTTTAAAAAATGGGGAAATAGGGGAAATAATGTGGACTTAGCTCAGGAGAGTTTGAGTGCACCTTGCACATGTGCTCCTGGAAAAGAGGGAGCTTTTCTCTCTCGCAGATGAAGGCATATGATCCAGGGACTGAAAGATAGAGTAAGACAAGCTCAAGTTTGATGTAATTTCCTATTCCCAGCAAGAATAATAAACACAATTGGACTAGCTTGTCAGCAATGGCAGATGGATTCACAATCATTTGGATTCTTTAGGACAAAATACCCCAAATGTCCAACTTCAAGGGAAACAGATGGCTGCCAGTAGGGGAGGCCAGACGAGCCTGGGGTCATCCCTTACAAGCTCTGAGGCTGTGCAGTCTCAGAACAGTCATGACTTGTGGGCAGACATGAACTTCCATCTTCCCTAATGGGTGATGTGGGCAGGTGGCACAGGAGGGTAGAGCAGCTCGGGAGTTAGCTGGCCGGGGAGTCCAGAAGTCACGCAGTCTCTGATTTTGATGATTCACATGGCAAGTGTGGCGAGCTCTCCAACTGAGTCGGCAGAGTCATAGGTGGATTTTGGTGGCATCTTGCCTGAGTTCGCTAAAAGGTCACCGAAAAAGATGCTTCTTTGTAAAACATTTCCATTTCAAGGAACCAGGTCTTTCTGTTGAAACCGAAATGTTTTGCCGAAAACCTGTTATGTTGGAAAACTCCCAACCATTTATCTCTCTCCTACTCCCATAGAGGGGAAATGGGTTGTCTCCAGCCTTTGCTTCCCCTTTTGATGTTTCAGCCATCCTGTGCTTCCCCTTGTGCCCGCTCAGGGTCCATCTCACAAAGCACACATCTGTTAAATGGTACTGGGAAGTGTACGAGATCTTTAAACAGTATGAAAAGAAAGAAACAGTACTACTCGATGAAAGAGAGAGGCACAGTATAGCTGTGTGATGAAAGTGTATCACCAACTGAATAGGAAATTCAGCCTACCTTTTCTAAAGGACACAGATCATTTCAATTCCTGAAATGCCATTTTGCACCAGGGATCTTTGATACTCTTTGATTGCAAATACTAGTAAAGCATTTGAGGGCCAGGGAAAAACCCATAATGGGCCAAACCCACCCCTAATGTTACTGAATTAAACCAGGGCTGATTTTGGCCATGGCTACATTGTGACTTCTGGCTGCAGAGGAACATGTGAGGTACACTCAATTATTTGTCATGAAAATACTGGCCAGGGAATTTAGCCCTTTTTTTTTTTTTCATTTTTGCATCACTCCCAAATGCCAGTCTCTGCGAGTGTATCTATTACTTGTAAGCATTTACTAATCATTCGTGAACAAATGTTAGCATTTGGTTTGTTTCCATCTGTCATTCCTAGTGGCGGTCTGTGCCTGGCCACGTCATTGCACAGAGATGTGCCGTTGACTTTTTCCCCTTCCTGACAACTCAAACTCTTTGGATAGAAGAAATATATTTGTGAACAATTTTAAAATAAGTTGTCAAGAAGGTCATCTTCTTCTGGTTGAAAGGATCAACACCCTGCTAAGGCAGGATTGTTCTCCCGTAAGCATAAGAAAATATGTTCAGGGTCACGTACTGCCTGTGTCCCCCCCGTAGTCATTCAGGGGTGTTACTGCAGTGTACGTATGCTTATCTGAGCCAGCAGCGTGGCATGCCAGCGTGGGGTCCAGCACAGGCTGCAAACTCATCCAGGAGCCAGGGTGAATATGTAGGCCCGGGCAGGATGTACTTGGCATGAGCAACAGTTTTTGATTCAACTTTACCTTTCCCCCACTCACCAAAAAATACTGCAAAGTAGCTGGCACCATGCGATTTAAGATTTCTAAGCAGCTCAGAAGAGATTAAAAAAATCAAGGAAAGGGTCCTTGGAAGGAAAAAGGAGAGAACATAATAACAGTTGAGGATGGAAAAGCAACCACCGAGGTAAGCAAAAGCATTATCAGCCTCAAAGAAAGAACTGGAAATATTATGAAAGGTGATGCAAACAAAAAGCCTGCAAACACTTTCAAAATAAAGGCATTGAGTGTGCATGGCCCTTTGTCAGGGCTCCCAGGCCATCTGGCCAACAAATTCGTGAAGTCTTTTAAAATGGCAGTTGCATACCTCTGTTTAGTTTTGCAAAATTTTGTACATTGTGTATCCCACAAATCTTGTCTGTTAGAAGACAGACTATCTTTATCCTGTTTTCTGACTGCTCCATTGCCCGCTACCCTGGTTTATCACTTTGGCAACAAACGATTGCAGGGTTTACATGCATTGCCTCATCACATGCAGCACTGCTGCACCCAGCTAGCATCCATCCGTGCTAGCAAATTGAAAGCCAGTTTAGACATGCCTTTCCCAGCTGTGGTTACATCTTCGACTGCCTTGTGGATCTATGAATTATATTGAAATACTTTTAGTTACAAACCCTAGGCACCAGATGTATGCTACCTTTGTTAGAAGTAGGAAAATGCATTTGCTTCTCCTTCAGTATGTCGTCCTTCTACTCTCTTATAAAAATAGGAAGAAATTTTTTTAACAGTACTTTTGTGCCTATTTTCATAATTGTCATGGGTCAAAATAGTCACCTGAATTAAACCAGGGCTGATTTTGGCCATGGTTCAACAGAACACTTCAGCTTCAAATAGCACAGGGCAGTATGGACAGTAAAAATTGATGTCTTTGATGTTGCATTAGGTTTTTGTGAAATAATCTTGGTAGAAGGCTGTTTCAGTGTTTTTGAAAAAGGTCTTTATAGCTCAATGGAATTGAAAAAAAAGCATTATGAATACATTTGCATACTTGCCTTCCTACATTTCTATTTCCCTTTGCTTCATCTCTCTCTGCAGGCTCAAGGGAGCAGATCCTTCCATGTTTCAAGCTGGCACAGCTCCACAAAACAGCTGTGCCAATTACTTCCAGTTGGGGACTGCCACTGGGTGTATAGCTGCTTGTACTGCAGTTGTTGCAATTACTATCATTATGTTATTTCTTGACACAGAAAGGAAAAAGATGAGTGAGTGTTTGGGGGGGGGCTTTGTTTAAGTGCAGCAGGCCACTTATTCATGCAAACCACTGAGAGCGTAAGCACAGTGAGGAGTGAACTTTTTGGAAAACCAGCTCTCATATTTAACTTGGTAAGGAGACAAAGCGATTTCTTAATGAAACCTAATAAACTCCAGGTCTGCCAGTTCCTTCAAAAAGGGAAAGCATTTTTCAATGTGTTAGATTAACACTGCCATACCTATTATGCCCTTGCTTTTATGCAGCTTACCGAGATCTTTACCACAGCTCCAACCTGCAAGAGCTACTTGTGTAATGCCAATGCTGAGAAAAACTATCACGTGGTTTACCTCCATCTGAAAAACAATTTTGAAGATTTGTTTCAAGTGGTCGCTATTCACAATCCTTTGATCCTGAAGCTGGGAGGGGAACTCTTCTCCAGACACAAAATTAGAGTGGTCTGAAAGCAACTTGTTTTGTCTGGCAGCTAACGGTTTGAAGGGCTTAAATTTTATGTAGCTTAGTGTACACAAACATGGCACCCCTCACACGCCCAAGAACTCCCATTCCTTCTGCATACCAAGCCGAGCGGTAGGTCAGTACCCCACAGACAAATGCTGTATTACATCTAGTCTAGATGTTTTATTGCAACCGGTTCAACATAGTACGTCTTCTGAATATGATTTTTTTAAATACTATTACAGCAAAGCTTCAGCCAGCCCGGGCTACCGCACAGAGGCTCTGACAGCAGGTATTAGCTCAGGCTTCCCGCGCCAGACCTGTCCAAACGAAGGGCCAAGACCTGCCATCGCACAGGCCCTGGCACCGCTCTGGCTTTGCTGGTGAAAAGAGAGACAGGACTAAGCTTTTACACTTCATTTCTGCGTTTTCCTCGTGAGAGCGTGACTTGAAGCCGTGATGAAGGTACTGTGAGGTGACAGGGCAGTGTGACAGGTGCCACTAACAGCACAGTCCCTGCCAGCGGTGCAATACGCAGCACCGGCCCGGTGTGACGAAGAGCCGCAGCGCCGTGCCGGTACCCGCCCCGAGGTCCCTTCACCGCAGTTTTATATTTATTACTCGTTTTATATTTTACTACTCGTTGCCATGCCCCCGGCCCGGCCTGTCCCCCGCGGCCCGGCAGGAG